CTGAGATCCCGGCGAACCTGGCTGATCGTAGTGGAGAGGCGGTGCTCCGCGCGACGTTCCCAACGAGGAGGTCAACGTCGGATCGCCCTTGATGTACGCGCTTCCAGCCGAGTCCACCTGCGCCAGTCGAATAACGTGTTCGCCAAACAATCTGCGTAGATGATCGTCCTCGCCGGATGTAACGCGGTCTATACTCACCCCGGTCACGCGGGAGGTCAGTTGAGTTGGCGGCTGATACTCGAGGATCACTTGATTCCCGGACTTGGGGTAGGTGTAGGTCGGGACCTGCTGGAACGTCTCGCTACCAGGCACGTACTGCGGGTACTGGACCGTTTGCGACAGAGGAATCGGCACCGTTTCCAAAGTGGTATACGTACTCGAGACTTTGATCGTCTCGTTCACGGCGTTCGCGTTCGCCACAGCCGCGTTCACCGCATCCGCGTCGTATTTAATGCTGACCCCGGTCCCGTCCACGTACCCAGTCACCAGCTGGTGCTGCTGATGATGATGTTGTTGACCGGTGCTGCTGCTTCCCCCGCGAATTCCATCACCGATCGGCGGTGAGTAAGGGGCGGCGGCGGTAGACGCGTCGAGGTGAACGCTCACCGAGGCCACCGTGTTCGCGTGAGACACTATGGGCTCGTATTCCTCGTTACTCCCTACCAGCACGGGCGAACCCTGGTGATGGTACGATCTGCCGCTCGTCGAACCGTTTCCACCACCCGACGACTGTCCCCCGCTCGCGTTCTCTCTCGGACTGTACCTCTGATGACCCGTAGACGACGGGACGCGCCTCTCTTGCGGCTGAAGCGCGATCGCGTGGTGATTCTCTCGACGAAGCTGCTGCTGCTGCTGCTGCTGCTGCTGCTGCTGACCGTCCCCCGACGCGTATCCGTAAATACGATCCGCGTCCGATCTTTCCGGCTCCGGGGTCTCGTACCTTCGACCAAATTACAATTTCCACGTTTGCGACCACAACTTCCCCCAACGAATCTCCCCATCTCAATAGGCGTTTACTTACCTAGCCGTTTCCTTTATCGTTAGGGTAGACGGATCCACGGTTTCCGTCACTTCCATTTGTAACTCCTGTCCGTTGCTCGTCAGGTAGACGACGCGCTGCTCGTTCGACCGATGTTGCTGCTGAATATCCGCCTCGGTCTGAGATATTTGAACAAAATGCTGGGACGTCTGTTTGCATCCCTGATCCGGTTGCTGTTGTTGATGCTGGCGGTCGTCTTGATAGGCGCGCGGTCGCGATTGCTGATCGACCGACTGGTGATGATGAGGATGATGATGTTGCTGCGACTGAAGCTGAATATTAGCCGGATGCGACGACATAGCGTTTGCATCCGGCGAGTCCGGTTCAGCGATGGTCTCGGTGATGTGACCGGCCGTGGTGATGGTACGCACGTGCCTCCTCGCGGTGATCACCGTTCGTGGACTCTCGACCGACGGCTCGTCTGCCGTTATCACCCTAGGCGAGCCCTCGTCGCCGCGGTTCTCTTCCCATTCGCGCTTCACCTCTTGCTTCGTCAACGTCTCCTTCATCCTGCGTCCTGCAACAGGCCCGGCAGAGCTCGGTTGTCGGTGGAACTGACACTGAGAGAGGTTAGTCGTTCAGTTGGCACGCGACTCGGAAACACGGCTCGTGAACCGAGAGGAAGAGAAAGAGGTGCGGAGATGTATCGAGAGGTGTGGAGAGGTGTGGAGAGGTGTGGAGAGGCGAGGCGCGCCTCGTCCGTCTGGAGAAAAAACCGAACCGTTGTTTACCCTGACTCGCGTCACACTTCCCTTCGACAATGTCAAGTTTCGACTTCCGGACCGAGCACGCGACGAGCACGGACGGCGTCCTTCTTCCGCTCCCGCCGCGGACGCGGCTGCCCACGCACTCGACTCGCCGAGCAAGCTAGCTCGCTAGGTCGACGCACGTTCCTACCTCTTGGTCGAAGGGTAACCGATTCTTCCACTGCGCGCGCCCCCGGCCGCTCGTACGATACTGCACCGATGAGTAGAGCGAGCTAGAGCGAGGAAGAGAGAGAGAGATACACTCGAGACACTCGCGCAACCAAACGAATATTCGCGGTGCGGCGCCACCGAGCAAAGTTTCTACTTTTCCCTCTTTCGATGGAAAACGGGCGAAAGAGAGGAGAGAAAGACGAGTCGAGAATCTCTGGCTATCGAGTGGAAAAGAGGCAACGGAGGGGTCCGTTTGTTTGTTCGCCGATAACAAGCGGCCGCTCGCTAGCTCACGAGCAGAGATAACGCGGTGTTCCACGAGGGGGATGGGTTGCCCGGGGAGGGTGGCGGTGCGCGAGGGGATCACACGAGAGGTGTCCATGGTTTCCCCGCGCTCCTCACTCTCCTCGTCGGCCGTCCGTCTGCCAACGCCATTTTGTTGTCACGGGCTTCGCGTTAGGTATTGGTAGGGGTGGCAGGCACACAACACACACGGTGTGAATCATTCGCACCCGCTGCTTATCGCGCGCGGCCTAAAAATTCGTTCTCTCTCTCTTCCCCTTCCTCACCCTTCTTGCCTACCTACGCGATTCGGTCAGAGGGAACGAGAAAGGGACGTGACGACGATAGGTACTTACACCTCGAGATCAACTTTCGCTCTTTGCGATCCAGTCATTTCGGTCATCCTCTGTAGATAATGAGCGTTACGTCACCGTCGGCCCTCCTTCTGATTCACCTTGGTAAACGAGAGCCCGTCGTGTTCCGAGGTATGTAACCGGGGTTCACCGTTTCGACTCTTGGACGGAAAAGCGTACGTGTCGAACGGTCCCTGTGCGCGCGTCTCTCGACGATCGCCTCGGATTAAATTCGGTTTGTCGGCGATTGTCTATCGTTCGAACAGCGACCGATAACAACCAAGGATGAGAGAGAGAGAGACGTTCAGTTTCGAGCGAAACCGAAAGAAATGGTACAGCAGAAATGGTGAAAGACGAGGATCGCTCGCGTCGTAACGCGAAACTTTCCGTGATAAATCGAACGAAGCGATTCATCGATCGTTCACCGGCTATCTAGGATCGAATCGAAAAATTCATTGTTTATCGGGGAACGAAGGAAATACAGATTGCTTCGCGCGAGTTATACCGTTGATAACGAACGATAACGAATCGACAAAGTCACGTTCTCTTCACTGTGGTCGTAGTGGATTGATCGAGGACGCGCCGCCGCGCCGATCGGACATCGCTGATCGATCGATTAAGCCATCGTTCGGTCGGGGCAAATTGATGGAAAGGAGGGAAAGAAAAGGTTGGATGCGAGGGAAGAATAATCGCGTAAATAGCGATGACGGTTAGAGAGGAAAATGGTAGATAGGTATTCGGAGGAAGCGAGAGAAATGTGTAAGTCGGAGCGCCACGGCCACCGATGGGGATGTCGGTCGAGTCGTTGGCGAGAGGCACGCCGTTGTCAAAATAAACGACACTATCGCGATTTATCTCGTTTCCCATGATAATAAGAGATAAAACTGCATCCTTACATTAGCTAGTATATATCAGCTAAAATGATAATTTCAGTCGTCGGGTCCGCCAGGAACGCGTAGGGCCGTTTCTCTAGCTCCGCGTACCAGTTTCGCGACCGCGTCTCCGTTCGCCGTTCGCCGTTCGCCGTTCTCCGTCCGCCGTTCTCCAAGAAGAATGGGAAAAGCGGAGATGTCGCAACGAAATCAAGTGAGTTACGCGATCACCATCGCCGAATCTCCGTGAACACGACGAGCGTAGGGGGTAAGCAACTTGCGCTGCTCTTTATACTCCCGATCGTGGTGTTTCTTTCGCATTGAAATATTCCTTTCTCCGAATCACTCGGAGAAGACTCGCGCGGCGAGGGTTGCGTCATGGATGGAGTTGCGAACACGTCGAGGCCATTTTCTTTATCAGTCGAGTAGGAAATTCTTATCGGCGTAAATGAAAATCCGTGCGTGCGTGCGTGCGTGTGTGTGTGTGTGTGTGTGTGTGTGTGTGTGTGTGTGTGTGTGTGTGTGTGTGTGTGTGTGTGTGTGTGTGTGTGTGTGTGTGTGTGTGTGTGTGTGTGTGTGTGTGTGTGTGTGTGTGTGTGTGTGTGTGTGTGTGTGTGTGTGTGCCCGACCGCGAGACAGTATCGAACGTAGAACGTGTAGCAGATCGCGCAAAAAGCGAAATTTTTCTCGTCGAGCGAGGACGATGGTGGAGCGCGCGAGCAACCTCGCTCGGGGATGACTCGCATCCGTGGCCACCGGTGTTGCGCAATCGTGTTTCCTCGAATCCGTATCGACCGGTAACTTTCCGCGACGCGGCGAGACGCGGCGAGACGGGACGCGCGAGTTTTCGCCTTCCAATTACCACGAAAATTCGACGGCCACTTTAACCGTGGCTTTCAGAGAGACTTGACGCCACGTCTCCCCCCCTTTCCAACGAAGAAGAGACGCCTAAAGCTCTTTACGATCCGATCCGGCCTCGCGCGCACGCGCTCTTTCGCTTGATAACGCGATCCTCTCTGACTACGTTGGCGTGCGCGGTCCCGCGTTTTACAACGCAATTACCCTAATAATTTACAAGACCCGAACCGTCGCGTCTGTGGGTTTTAACGAACAAACAGTCGACGGCGACATAGTCTTTCCGCGGAAATAGCGAAAGCAACGAACGTGAACAGGTAAGGTAACCGGCCTCTGCATCCTCTGATGCGCGTTTCACCGACCACGCGACCCACCCGTCAGTCCAATAATTAATGCTCACACGACAAACAGCATTATCGTGGTTGCCCGATATTATTCCATTATCTTACCACAGCTATGTGCTTAACGATTAATAAAATATCTGCGCTCAGGGGTATCTCGCCTCGATATCGTATAGTTTCGCGGCAGACGTCGCCGAGACGGTTTACCACGTGTTGTACGCCGTCCGTTTGGCGGAACGGCATCGAGCTCGCGGCTTCCTTCGAAATATGTACGGTCGCGCATCGAACTCGAACCAATCGGAGTTGAAGTAACAGGTGAAGCACGCTCTTCTACCGGGACGGACCGTCATCCATGAGCAAACTACAAGTGTCACTCGCCGATTCGAACGTAAAACACAAGTGTTTCTCGTTTCGATCGTGTTCGTTCGTACACGCGCTACCGAACGAGCGCGAGTTACGTCTTTCCAAATACCGCTCTATCCACCTTGCTCCGACTCGTTGCGCCTTGCCTTGCCTTCACGCGCCACGCCGCGCCGCACTTCGTCTTGCCGACACTCGCTTTGCTCTGTCCCACCGCGCCCCGCCTTGCCGCGCCGTGCCGCGCTTCGTCTCCAACCATGCGCCTTTTCTCCTTTTTCTTTCGCTATTTCGGCCAACCCGTCCCTTAACATTCCCTACCACCGTTCGATTCCACGCCAACTCGACCGACCACGAAAAATTCCCAACGGACCGAGCAAACTTCGCGACCAGTTCGAGGTCCAAGGGTGGAAAAAGGAGAGAAAGAAGACGCGGGCTGTTAAGAAGGAGGGGGATGAGGAGAGGAGAGAAGAAAATAGCAGAGACGAAACGGAAAGCGGGAAAATTGAAAGAGCGATCTCCACTTACCGTGGCAGGAGTACGAAGAGGAGCGTTTAGCGTAAACGATGCGTTCCGTAGATACGGTTCCCTCAACTATATTCAGAGCGAAGAGCAGCTCTGATTTGTGACGCGTCGACGGTCGACGGTCGACTCGCGAGACCGACGCGTTTACGATTCGAGAGCGAAGGTGGCAAGACCGCGACGCGGCTTGACACAGGTGCGCTGCCAAGGTGTGTCGACGATTCGGATCAGCTGCCGCCTGGTAGCGTCGTACCGAAGCTTCGATTAACAGCGAGACAGACACATAGAGAGAGAGAGGGAGGGATTGCGCGAGCGTGCGCGCGTGCGAGTGAGGGGGGGCAGGAAGGAACGTACAGAGAGAGCGCGCGCGCGTGCGTGCGTGCGTTTCAGAGAGGGTGCTGCTAAAATATCGACCGAGTACGAGTAGACTCCCTCGTAGCCTCCCCTTTCGTTCGCCGCCATCTCGGTCCCGTTCTCCTTCGACCCCCTTCGACCCCCTTCGAACCCCTTCTTCTTCCCACCCAGGGATTTATTTATAGCCTGTTCCTCGCTACGTTCGTTGGCCGCCGCGGCAGAAAGGGATGGGTTTACTTTCCACTGCAGCTCAAACGAGATACGTGCACGCGTGCGTCGCGTTATCGTGGAAAACAGCGGGAGAAGAAGCGAGCTTGTGTGTCGTCATACTTTCAGAGCATACACGGGATTCCTCCGATAAGGCGGGGTCGTAACATCGAACAAGGACGCGTAGCGAACGGCTACAACCCCTTTCGCCAATCGGCGGTGCCTAGTTTCCCCTAGGTTATGTCAATGGGAGGGGGCGGGGGCCGTTTCTCGTTCTCGCGTTCCAACCTTTAACCGAGATTAGTCGAGATATCGCGGCGGCTGTTATCGCCGAAAATACACAGGGATGAAGTTTTCCTGGGAACTCGTTCACCCGACTTCTTTTCGCCAGCTGGTCTTTCCTTCCGTCTCTTCCCCGACAACGTAGTTATACGCCT